TCCAGGCAATCGAATTTTAGTTCTCTCGCGGCGGAACGCTCGATTCCCACGACGACGTTATCCCCTGGATCGAATTTCGCGGTATTGGCGATATCGGCGTTTTTCAAGATCGGTCCACCTGCAAAGCCGACGCTTCCGCCGTTCGATCGATTATAAATCGGCCGCTGCTTTCATCGAAATAGTTATCCGCTGGAACAGAAAGTCCGAATCGGGCCGAATTGTTTAAAGTTGGAGGGAGAAGAGGGCGGCGAAGCGTTTCCGGTTTCGTTTTTTGGCCACGTACGCGCGGGATTTTGCTCGAATCGAAATGATTTATCGCGGAGATCGCGTTGGAAGATCCGATCCGCGCTCGGCCCGTTACGCGAAACAAAGCAAAAGAAAAAAGGTGGCGCGCATACCAGTGGACCAGAGGAGAAAAGTGGAGGGAACGGGTCCGCGATGAAAATTTTCAGCGGCAAAATTCTACCACCGATTTGAATCGAAAGCCGAGCGTGACGCGCACCCTTTGTTCGCCACCGTTGTCCAAAACAAAACGCTAGGAAAGTCTCCCACGATTTATCGCTCCGATGCGTGTATTTTATTCCCCTGCGAGGCATAAAAATATAGGAAAATTGTATTTCACCGGATTGCGTGCTTAAAATATACGCGCCTCTACACGCGTGCGCGTGCAAACAGCAGACAAACACACACACACACACACACATATACACACGTACTTACATACGTGCGTATTTTTTCAAGTTTCGGTTACCCGATATCGGGCGTCGTATTTATTTTACCATAGTGGTAATTCAATCGCGAGTAATCGACACGCTATTGGCCCTGCCATACGTATTTCATTTACTTTATACGTATATCTGAATGAATGATTCGAGGCGCGCGGCTCGTTACCGTCGAGCGAACCGCGAAATCGCGCCGACTTTGCGTTATTTTCGCAAAATGATTTGTTTGGTCGCGCCTATTCCACGAACGGATTATCTCTTATTTATGCCGGTGTGGCGTAATCGACGAACGGTCTGATCCAACGGAATAATCGAAGAAGCGATCGCGGAAGAGCAAAAAATAATGTGGGTCAGAGGGGAGATAGAAGCAAAGTATGCGCGTATAATTCACATTCGAGGTTGGTGCGCGGGAGACGATGTAAAATATGCAAACGTATGCGGTTCCTTTATTTTTCGCCGGCGCGAACCGAAGAGGAGAACGACGGCAAAAGACGAACTCGAAAAGCGATTATTCGAGGGCGATCTGAGATTTTCCTTTAAATAAACGGAAAATATATCCGACGGTAGACAATACGTCGATGTTAAGTTAATGGTTTACGGTGCGATTAATTTTAATCGGAGTGTTCTCGTCGCAATTTATATTTTGAAACGCGTATCGCTGTGACAACAACGATGGACAATGAAATTGTTTTAGACGGTAATTTTGTCACGACAAACAAACCGTGTTTACACGTTGATATTCCATGTTAAACAGATTATACGCGAAGCGAATCAAATCTATCCCTTTGAATCAACCAGGAAGTTAAACTCGGCAAATGAAATGAAAATATCGGAGGATGAATTTAACGTAAATTGTCAAAGAAAGTCGAGTTTGTGGGATATCGTGTAACGGGAAGGTTAATGACGATCACGTTGAATATGTAGAAAACGAAGAACTTTTTTTTATTATGTTCGTTGTGTCGCGAGACTTGGCGATGTCGTCGTGTCTGCATTTACAAATCTAGTCGCAAGCCATCCATTCGATTCGATCTTTCTCTTACTCGTTCGTACAAGTACATCGCACTCTTTCCTTTTTCTTCCTTATTCTCTCACGCACGCACGCACGCACGCATGCTTCCTTTTTATCTCTCCATACGCTTTATTCCGTACAATTTTTATTCGACCACGTCTTTTTCTTTTACCGAAATCCGACGAAAGTTCGCGTCGATTTGGATCGCTTGCGAAACAGCCCGCGGAAAAGAAGATCGAAAGGGTTTTCGTTTCAAAGGTATAAAATTTACAAAAGACGATCTCGAGCAGTCGTGCGTGAATCAGCTAGTCCGCGACCAATGGCAGTGACCGTGATCGATGCAACGAGATCCATGTTAAACGAAATCTCTTCTTACCGATCCCGGTTGACGCGAGAATCCAATCTCTTCTTCTCGTTGTTCTATAGTTACGTTCGATAGATTCCTCTCGCGGTAATTCCTTCGTGACGAATCATCTCGGAATACGAGTTTCGTTTCAAACACGTCTCATAGTATCGGCATGTTTCTCGTTTCGCCGCGAAATATTTTCGATCTTTCTTTCGGGGCGATTTTTCCATTTCCATCGACATCCGTTCTTTACATCTACCGGTTGTAAGTGCGATATGTTCCAACGGATAGTAACTTATAATATGTTATTTATAATATATATATATATATATATATATATATAATCTATATTTATAATACTTTGCCGTTCGAATGTTCTTATCGAGCTACGTATATGTATACATCGTATATGTATACGCGTTACGCGAGCGCGTATACGATATATGTATATAAATATGCGTTTGACACGCATAATCTCGTCGTTGGGATAATTTCTACTATCGTTTCCACCGTTCTTCCGCGTTTCTCTATAAATCATCGAATGTAATTATCTAGATAAATCTGAGAGACGAAAGCGTCGGCCGAATCGATTCGCGACTCACACGCCGACAAATATCAATCCTCGTAACGTCCCACTCGATATTCGCTCGATTCGCTCGACCCTTTCCGATTATGCACTTTCACGCTACAGTTTCCGAGGACCGTCGATAGGAATGTTAAAAAATCGAGTCTCCTGATAGGTCGACGGGTACGAGAGCTACGCGTACCGTTTAAACAACGCGAAATTGTACGTTTAAATGCGCAGATCGAACGATCGTTCGCAAGGGGCGATCACAATTTTCCAGGTTACCTTGGGAAACCTTCCAAGGAGTGGTATTCGACTATCGCGAGAACGATTCTCGCGGCAATTACCTTCTTCTTCGATCTTGAAACCGAATCGCCGTTTCATAATTATTACTCTTTCGCTTGTTTTCGTCGTTGTCGAAATGAAATAGAGCGGACGCGAGCTATCGCGAAACCGGGCAAGAAAAGCGCGTTATTTAACGAGCACACTCGACGATTCTCGACGAATGGCCGATTAATTTCGAGCAGTCGGACGCGCGTTGCTCTCGCAAGCGAATTTGAAAAATACAATTTCTCGGCCGGGTTAAGCTGCCATAAAAAATCGTCCATTTCGGAATATGCATATCCCGGTGAAGCATCTAACCGGCGTCGCACCTGCGGATCCCCATTTTACAAGAGCAATTTAATCGGATGCTTCTGATCCTTAACCCAGCTGCGCTCGCGCTCGGTTCGCTCGCCAATTCGTGGAGAGACGAGGTAAAAGTAGAAGAAACCAGCTGGGCTCCGTGAGCAAACTTTTCTCTTCGCTGTGACTCTGTACCTTAACTTTTATTAATTGTTCTTAACGTTGAGAATAATCGTCGATCGTAGAACTTGGTCGTTGGTGCACCATGTAATCGGTAAGATCGGTTAGTCTACGAATCGTTCGGTAAACGAGTCGACCGACGAACATTGTAACTGCATACGTATTCGCTGTTCGTCGCTTAGGAGATGACATTTCAAACGTTCGACAATCTATGGTTAGACCACGGATATTTATGCAGATTCGTATCTTGCGGACGTAGATAATTCGTCAAATTTTTCGTATTTTATGCATGTTCTTGCTCGAAATAAACGCATCAAAGTCCGCAGTTTATAACGATCGTATCTGTCGGAAATAATCGATTAGACCCGCGTTTCCCCAAGTACCTTGAACCGAACGACGAACAGTACGCGTGTTTCTTGCGAAATCTTTTCGCGTTACTCCGATCGAACTCGTTACAGGGATCCTTGTTGTTGGCGGAAACGTAAATTTTCATCGGACGTTGATAGATACGTTATCTCGATTTCTCGCGAAAGGAATTGGACGAGCGAACGAGAGGAGCGAGTAAATGGGAGAGGAACGATCGATCGATCGATCGGTTTTAGCGGAGTAACGCTTACATTTACGTGATCTCGCGGTCGCTTTTACGTAATGCGTCTATGTATGTACGATCAAGTACGTTGGTTACGCGCCATCTGTACCAGCTTTGTATATCCGCGTGCGTACGCGTACGCGTACATACGATGCATGCACTCGCGTGACTGTGCCTGCTAGGCCAAAGCGATCTCGCTCTCGTCGTAATAAACGTTTCTGACGTATATACGCAGACGCATAGACGGTCAGTCAGCTCGCTATAGTCGAAAAATACTGTACACGCTTTAATTACCTTTGCGAGATCTCGCAAAGATAACTTTAACGAAATAGTGGAATTCGAACTTGAACGCATCGGAATACAAAGCGGAATTTAACCGAAGAATCAGCTCCGCTTGACCTGTCGAGAGAGCGAAGTATCGACGGCGACGGTACGGATTTTGAAGGGAAATCGACTTTTCGCATTTGTGACGCGACCTTAACGAATTTCGCAAAGTTGGAGTTCCCTCGAATGGGAAAAAACGAAGATGTTTGTCGCAACGTGAAATTAAAAACTAAGCAAAGACGCGTGGCGTTGGAGGAGGCATAGCTCGAGACGAAGGCAGATAGGAGGGAATAGAAGGAAAGATTAAAAAAAAATACGACAAGATACAGGACGTGGAACAGGAACAGAGCCACGGTCGAGAAAAGATTCGGGTTAAAGAAAAGAAGCGAGGCAAGAACGCGAGAGCGAGAGGCGAAAAGGAGAGAGAGGAGCAGAGGAACGTGGAACGTAGCTCGTGTTCCGCCTTGATTCCAGATGCCAACAGGCCCTTTCGGTCCTTTATCCGGTCCGAAACAATACTCGAGCTTCCGAAAATCTTGGAAAGCGGAATAACCATCCTGGAGAACCGTGACTCGCGCAGTGATAAAGTTCCTTCTTTTCCCTTCCTTTGCTCCGCCTTTCGTTTCATTTTTCTCGCGAGGCTATATAGTTGGCTGCTATTCGAAGTTGGAGAGGCGTGTTCGTCGATCGGCAGAGGAGAGATCGTCGTCTCGCAGGTAGCTTTTGTTCCAGCTATTCAATGTTTCATGAGAACCGAAGGGCAGAAAACAAAACGCTTCTCATTATCGTGCCCACTTACGTCTCGTTCTATCCAAGATGTATGAATTATTCCTTTCTTTATACTCGTCTCGAAAGAATCGCGGTAAATATCGAACGTAACTCTCCGATTCTCTCGACGTTTCTTCTTTTTTCTCTTTTTATCGCCTTCAGTTACGATCGATTCGTAATCGCTTTCCCTTTTAACGTTCGTCGCGTCTCTTCGGATCCTCTTCCCCATCGACGAAACAAACGCGTTCGCCGCACTTGGAGACTCTTGCGCTCGAACCTCGGCGATATTATCACCGCCGAATATCTTGGGTTTTACCTAAGGTCGATGCTTTCAGCGTGTCGTTTCGTCGTTGCACGTATCGCGCTATTTTCTCAAATTCTAATTTTACGTTCGAAAGTTAAAAACAGACTGGGCGTTTACAGCTGCGTGCGAATCACGGTTTCGATATTTTTCCGTAGCGATCCCGCCTCGTATCGTAAATCATCATCAACGACCAACTATTTTCCTTGCGTGATCCGTTATCGCGCTCAAAGCAACGATGGCTATAGGAAATTCTTCTTTCGTAACGCGCTATATTTCTCGAACACGTTGATCGTCAACGGACACCCGAGGCATTATGAAAATTGATGCGATTGGATGAAACACTCGAGAAACTAGTTTTTCTGGCAGTGAATTGGACGAACGGTGGGGAGAATAAAAAAGGAGCTTGATGAAACGTAACGATTAATTCGCGCAATTAAACACGGTGGGTGCGTTGAGTTCGCAGGCTTGTTTCCAGGCTTGATAGCGTGCCATTTCTCGCGAAATGGAAATTCGAAATGCCGTTAAAGGACAGGTGTCGTGCGTAACGCGACCAATAAAACGATACAGCTTGACTGCAACATGATTAATTATGACGAATCACCGTGCCAGCTGTTTTCACAGACCTGTGTATCGTACGGTATATTCCAACGTGTTCTCCCTTTCCTTTCTACGCGCTTTACTAATTCCTTCCAAGCTGATTTTCCTATGCGACGCCGATTGGCCTCCGAAGCGTTTCGGTTTCGTTCGCTTTTTCCACGAAGGTCCGTCACGACGAAGCGGTTCGTCACGATCGATCTGCAGTTTCGGAGCGTTTCGCGACGATCTCGAGTCTGTCCCTGCCATCTCCACGCTAAGCTACGGTGCAGGTATTTTTCTCCTTTTTCCCGTGTTCCGTCTTCCCACCAACTTTTTCCCTTCCAGCCAGTTTTATTTCCATTGCTTTCTTTCGTCCTCGAGTGCGACAGCTTCCCAAGCTTACCCGTCTGCCACTCGTTCGCTCCAGCTCTTCACAGCTACCCGTCCAGTGTCGTCCTTCCAAATTCTCTCCTCTTTCCGTTTCCTCTTCTCCCTCCCTCCCCCCGTCTGTCTCTCTCTTTTTATCCGCTCGCCGCGATCCTACCACTCGTTTTTTCTACTCTCAAGCCCGCTCTTTTTCCTTCTTCGTTTATTCTTTTCTCCAGCGGACACGATCGCATTCCCCGTCGAGCTGCAGCGTTACATTTTTAAACGCTTTCGTAAAAGAGCAAAACGCGTACGCGTTTTCTTTCTCCGCCGGGCGATCCGCAGCGTCGGAGATGCCGTTGTATTTTCCAGAAAATTCCATTGTTTCCGGCGAAAACGCGCTCTTCTCTCGCTTAATTGGCCAACGGTGTTTTCCGCGCGGCGCGATTCGACCGAGGCTGGTTCAACGAATGTAAACGAGTTCACGCGCCATATTCGAGCGGCGATGGGAAAGACTTGTCAAAAGTTGTCCGAGACGTCGAAATTGGAGCACTCGAAACGTAACTAACATGGCGAAAAAGTAATCCGAGGTCGGTTACGTAGGAGATGGGTGGTTGCGTCCCGAGCGCTTTTGTTTCGTTCAGCCTTGCGGCATCGATCTTCCACATCGAGAGATAATTAAGAGACAAAAGCAGGAACAAAGTTGTCGCGCTCCAAAGAGCCCGTGTAGCCGTATCAGCCGGTATACGGATTTTCCGCGATAAGTACGACGCGTTCGAGGTTTTTGCCGCGAGAAAAGGGCCTCGGCGAATGAGAACGGATTTCACGGTTGAAGCGAAGCGAGTTGAAATAGGAAAATTCTCGCATCGAACGAGAGCGATCGGTCGAACGTTCCGCATGGGCTAGAATCCCTGACTAATTACAAACGGTTTGCGCGTGTAAGCGTTAACGAGGAATCGTTTCATGATCGTCGCGATCATTAGCCCGAGCCGCGTTAAAGCTTACGAGTTAGCTCGAAAATCGTGAACGCCCTGCGAGCGGTGCGACGCGCTACGGTTTTTTTCGGCGTTTCCATCGGTTTCTTCGTACGAGGAAAGTAGAACAGCTCGGAGGAATCTCGACGAGGACTAGCAGTCGTCTTGAGTGGAAGAGGAGTGTAAAAGCGCTGCCACACGCTCCGAGAAGTCTCCCGAAGCTGCTCCGGAACACTGTAACAGAAACGGTTTACGAACCGTTAAAACATCGAACGTCGCTTTATCTTCGACGATTACGCAAAATGTCGTGAATTTCACTTTCATATCCATTCGAGTTAAAAGCAGCGTCCGCGCGAGAAATAAGGTTCGCGGATATACCTGATCGCGCGAAACATTTTACTTCGAGATTTCCAGAGCGAGATCGTTCTACTTGACTGGCTTGGTTGGCTGTTGTGCGATAGACGGCGTTGATTCGCGAAGGTAGCCGCGAGTTTGGCATCGCGAAAGTTTTCGCACGGCCTTTCGATTCGTCGGTCGATACGCGATCATCCGAAAGATCCGAATGAAAAAAGTTAAACGAATCTCCGAGGACAGAAAGGAAGGTGGTATATCGACGAGGAAAGGTCGAGAAGGGAGCGGCGGCGACGGTTTATCGAACGTCGGCGCGTTCCACACAGGCTTACATTGTTTAAACGATCCGTCGGTTTGGAAAAATCCCTGACACCATAAAGCAACGAGTGGAGGAACCCTTCGGGCCGGCAATGAAAACTTGAAAAGTTCGTGCTTTTTCATTTTCAGCAACGGCTCGGCATCGCTGAAAGCGCAGACGATGCTGATTTCCCAGCGGGTATCGTCCATCTATAAATCTATACCCTGAGGTTGTTTAGTCGGAGCACTGGCTCGGCTGTGTGTGTGCACGCGTAGCTCAACTGCGCCACCCTGTATTTTTCATTCGACTCACCCTCGACACTGCACCCGCCCCTAACCCGTTTCTATCCTCTTTTCTACCCTCCCCTCTCCCCTTCCCGTTCCTACCCTTCGCCGCTCACCTTTTCTCCCTGGCACACGCCCCCCCTCCTCCTCAAAGCAAACTTTTATCCCGCGCAACTTTATTTCTTCCGGTCTCGTTCGGCAAACCGCGAAAACAAGGATTAGTCCGCGACCGACGGCCTATCCGCTCATCGAGAATTGTTTGTCCGGCGGTCGACCGATAAACGCGTCGTAAACGCGTCGTAAATAGGTCGCGTTTCGAATTTTAGAAACGAGGACGTTGGCTTTTTGTCGCAGAGAAGCGCTAACGAACGAGCAAAAATTTATGGGTTAACGAAATATGTAGCCTCGGAGAGAGGCGACGAGGATGCGACGAGTTAGGAGGGGAAAGAGGCGAGCGACGGTTTCAGCTTTTCTCGTCGTTGTTTTATCGCACGGGGACGGTACACCTTTCGGTCGGCGGTACGCGTTTGAGAAAAATGTTGCGCGAAATTGAACGAGCGAGCGTAAGTAGTCGCGTGAAAATGTTAAGGTTTTTTAATTAACTTCTTTTCATGGCGTTTCGCTGGCGGATTTTCCGAAACACGCGTGCACGATGGTGGGGTTAATGCAGCGTGTAATTGAAATCGCGAACAACGAAGGTCCGGGCTAATCGACGATCGAAAAATGACAAGTTGCGGTCCATTTAATCGAAGTTGGACCGCAACGCGTTTCCCGCCTCGACATACGCCGATAGTCGGACAAAGGAACCTATTCGCGTTTGCGTTTGCGTTCGAATTTACATTGGTATTTGCGCTAAAATTTCCGCGAAATACCACCTCTCAACCTCCGCCATTCGGCAAACGTGTTTTTCGCAGTTCTCTTTTATCCCCTCAAGTGTACCAGTAACGTCTCGGTTAGTTATCGCGACGACGATTCGCGCATCTGGCCGGGTAACTACCGCGGGTTTATCTGGCTCGCGGAAAAATTACGACGAATCTTACCGCGTAACGATAGTAGGAGAACCGAGAGGCGAAGAAAGACAGAGCGTGCAATAGCGACGAAGGGGAAAAAGATGGTACTAAAGGGACGGGAGATTGGTTATAGAGAGGCGGTGGAAAAGTTGGACCGTGGAACGAGACCGAACTTTCAGCTTTTTAAGCTCTTTTCCTTGACTCCGCGACTTTTCGCAGCCCGCTCCGGCTTACCACGGTCTCCGACTATTCGAGAGCCTGGGGATATTTGTTTTAAGCGTCGGCGTTGACGATAATTTCCTCGAGAGAGAATCGCTTTGCAAACCATCGTTTACCGGTTCGCAGCAGCTCGTGCCACCCTCGAATCTTTCGAAACCTCCGACTCCGTCTGCCACTTAGGCCCCGCGTCGTACGTATTTTCTAACGCTTTGTCGTCTATCGCGCGTAGATTTTCAAGAACGGAAATTCCAAGTTTGGCGAAGCTACGGAGGAGAACGGGGGTGGCGAAGGTGGAGTCGTAAAATTTCTACTTGGGTTTTACACCGTTAATTCCATCCTGTACGGACAACAAAAACAGAAGCACGGTAATATAAATTAGGTAATTTTTGCAGACGTAATTTTTCAGGATTACTTCTGGTCGTAATCTGAGGGTTTTTTTCGAGGGACGCGGATGATCCTGAAACACGAGGCAAGCTGCGATTTTACATCCGCGTTTTCCTTCATCCACTGGGGTGCAATTAACTATCCGGCTAACGCGAACGTATTAATGTAAAAGGAGAAAAACGATGCCGGGGAAACGGCGGCGATACATAAGGTGCGACGAGTCCGAGTATCTCGGGAAAATTTCGAAGGAGAAGAAATTTCGAGAAAACGACACGCTACGTACGCGCGGTTGCGTTCGTTTGGCTGCGATTTACTCGATTTACGGTTTATGGGGTAGCGGTGGAAAGAAATTAGCGAAATTAAATTGAACGGTGAAACTGTCTTTTATCCGACTGCGAACGGAAAGCTTGTCAAATATTTATTCGGCCGGTTTTGCAAAAAATTGACTCGCTAATAAAACAGCTGGCGGAAGGTAATGCTCGATTCAATTTTCTCGAAGGGGAGAGACGTCGGTGGCAAGGAGGATCGAGCGAAATAAACCGAGCGGGTTGCCGGGAGTATGGCGAAACGATGGAAACGTAGGAAGAAAAATTGCGAGCAAAAAGCGTGGCGGAACGTGGACTCTCGTAAGAGCTCTATTTTCGCAGTTCGCTGTCCGCCGCCTGTCCCCTCCCACCCTCTGCCGCGTCCTCTTCATCCTCTTCTTTATTTTCACCCACCTTCGCTTTCTCGTTTCGAGGACAATTACGCTAATGCTTTCGCCATTCTCATCTTTCAGGACTGGAAGTTCGGTAGGAAGAGCCAGCAGCGGTAACTCGAAGCCAAAACAAATGCAAATGTCGCTGAACCGAGTAAGTAAACGCAATAAATGCTTTGCCGCTTGTTCCGGTCGTGTGAAATTTTCAACCTCGGAATTGTCTTCGTCTCGGCGTCTCGAATGAAAATTTAAACGTAGTTCGCGTTCCTTCCTCCAGCGAGTTTCGAGAGAACCGGTCGATCGTTCGCGAGTCGCTTCCTTCCTTCGTCGCTGTGCGCTATGCTTTGTACGCTTCTGCTTGTTTACGTAACACCCGATGCGAACGAAAACTGAAAAGCAAGGCGTAAACGGTTCGTCCTGCACACCGGGCAATTCCATTCGCGCTGCTCGGTAAATTTGATCTAACTGCGCGTACCGTGTACCGAGCAACCGTTTCGTTAGGCAATCATTACCTATAGTAAACGCGGTTACGAGGCCGGTCAAACAATAGTCAAACGGTATCGGCTTTAGTTCATATTCGTACAATTGTTATTCAAACCGCATCGAGTTTTATTACAACACGAATAATACCGGTTAAACAATAATGCGTACGGTATGATCGCGCGCGACGTAAATGTTCGCGTTCTCCCGTGTCCTCCCGCGTTCTCCCGCCTTCTCCCGCCTTCTCCCGTGTTTGCCAGGCCGATTTTCAAATCCCTTTACATCGAAACCGCTATTCCACGTAACGAGAGTTACACAAGGATTTGCGATCGTTGCCTCTGTACCGCTCTTCGCCAAAACACGAGGGTCTCGCTACCCTCGTAACATACTTTATATAGTTTACTCGTCTTTTATTTAAACGTGTGATCCCTTTGAACGAATCGCTCGAGCGTTAGCGAAATTACTATTTTAGCACGAGATTACGTCGACGGCCGACGACTTTTCGTCGTTCGTCGCGAAAGAAACCGTTCGAGCGGAAATTTTCGGCAATTTTGTTCCGAGCGCGCGTCTGCTCGATCGCGAGCGAGCGCGAGCTCATCGTCAAAATGAACGTTTCATCCCTCGAGAAATCTTGCAACCAATCTCTATTCTTCGGGGGATATCGCGAACAGAAAGAAACGCCAGGCTCTCGGCATTTTCAGGGACGCGTTATCCGCGTATCGCGACCGAATTAAACGTCAACGATCTCGATGAAACGAACGGGACGTTTCGAGCGTTTCAACGTTTGCTTTAACGAGGATTATCGGTACGTACGTTACGGTTTATTCAGCGACGTTACATTCCGAAAGCCGTTTCAATGGATTTCGTTTCGCGTTCGAACGAATAACCGACGCTCGTTCGGGGACTCGCTCGCCGGTTCTTAATCGCTTATCGCTAATTTATTTACTTGGAATTTCCCATACGATGGAACGTATTCTTTCGTTATCGGCCGTGATGTAGCGTAACGAGCGTTCGTAGAAGCGTCATAGCTTTCCACGTTGAAAACCATTTCGATAGCGACAGGGTAGTGTCGGTGTTTATTAGCGGGGACAAAACTCTCGTTCGTCATTGCCAGATAGGGAATTTCGGATAAAGCAGAGCGAATAACGCGAGGGAAGGGAGCGAGGAAGAAGAGTCGCCCCGTTCGTTCGGTTTCCAGTCTGTCAACTTCTTCGTTCTGTTTCTCGGTGACACTTTCATTCCCTCGTGGCTCTCTCGATTCGCTCGCGATCGTGTACGTATACCGTTGTATGGCGCTGCTCCCGCGTGAATCCTACCACCGCGACATTACGTTGGGCTCCTGTTGGAGTCTACGAGATTCGAACAGCGGTTGTTCGGAGATTTTCACAGCGAACAAAATTTCAGCAACGTTCGAGCTCGTTACTTTCGATCAACGGAAACGATTTTTCCAGATGATTTCCTTTAAAATCGGCTAATATTCGAGATCGTTGAATTTAATCGCTTATTAACCA